ACCACCTTTAGAGTAGGCACCCCCGGACCCCCCTAGAGCAGTGGTTCCCAAACGGTGTGCCGCGGCACACTAGTGTGCCGTGAGGCAAGTCCGGGTGTGCCGTGGGATTTTGTGACAACCATACATTGTTATTATTGCAATATACAACTACACAAACATAATTATTTTTTAATTTACTATATCAGTACTTTGTAGGTTTATATGTACGTAATCTGCGCGACTTGCGCATCCACATCTCCACGTGCAGTGCTGCATAAACATGACTGAGTCAGCGATAACTCTCGAGGGGTGGAGGTATGCCCATTATTTTGAGTTCGTCCGAAGAATAGACAGGAATGTGACGGTGAGGTGCAAACTGTGTCCAGGCCAGAAGCTGTTATCCACTGCTGGAAACACCACGTGGTCAAACCTCAACAAGCACCTGCAAAGAACACATGCTAAGGTGAAGCTACCGCACACGATATTTGTTGTTTGTTTATATCACGTAGTCTGTTCTTCTTCTCTGTCTTCCGGTTGTTGCCTGTTTTGAATAACAAATACACACTACCGCCGCCTGCTGGTAAGGAAAGTTATTGCCACTCACGCATGCGCAGTTTGTACGTTCACATGTATCTCACTAATTTGTAAGTCGGCAACATATTTACAATAGCACATGTTTCAATGCTGATTGCTGAAATGTTACATTTATAATTTGTAGTTCAGGACCATGGACAATGCAGCTTCCTTGCATTGACAGTTCTCTGTGCTGAATTTCTGCTGAGTTTCCTTTGCATCATTTTTAATTTTGTGACCTGTCTGGTTTAAATGAGTGTGTTGCTGCTTTGATGAAGCCTAATTTGATAAAGTTTCAAATTAATTTCTGAAATATTTCGTTAATAAATATTTCATGAGTAATATAGTTGTCTTTGTCACATTTTATTTTCCATTAGTAAATAATTATGCACATTTACAGATATTTTACATGATATGAGTGATAACACGTGTTATAAGGGCTATTTTGCACAATAGGTGTGCCTTGAGATTTTTACTTGTCCTTTGGTGTGCCTTGGGCACAACAAGTTTGGGAACCACTGCCCTAGAGGATGTTAGCTCCACCCCCCACTGGGAGCGCGGATATATTGTGCGTGTGGGGAGTGTTGCAGTAGAACATTCCACTGTAGCGCCCGGTACCTTAATGAGAAAGCCTACATGTTTGAGTACCCTCTATGAAATGTCAAGTTACCCCACAGCACCCCCAAAAGCAAATCTCTGGCGCCGCCCATGCCCACTGTTAAAGGGATTTTTCCCATTACCAACCGATTATTTTTCACGGTTCACAGTGAGGAATATCAGGACATTGTTTCCTGAAAGATGAGTGGCTTTGTTATTTTTTGGTGTTTTTTTTTTTTAACCCTTGAAACGGACAGTCCCAGCAGACATATGATCTGTTGTTCTGTGCTCTGTTCAGCATCCTCTCTGTGTGGAGTGCCTTTAATTGACACTGATATAATTACTGACTGAGCCCCACACTTCCTGTCAGGCTGTGGTAGAAGACCTATTCAAATCCTGTAGTTAGGGAGAAGTAGCAGGACCATTAAAAACCCGTCATTATCAGCAATATTGAAGTACTTAAAGCAAACTACAGTAAAATGTTCCCTCTCAGTGTTTTGTTATGATTATTGATAACATTGCTGCTTCATTTGTCTGTATATGTGTATTTTGTTTGTCATGAACCTTTTTCGGACCACTTATTTATTTATTTTGGTGACGATCCGACCTCCATGCTGCTACTCTGGTTCAAACTGCATCCACCAAACAATATGATTTATCTCCACCTCCCCAAAAGAACCCAAATCTGACACGGTGTGAGATGTCTTTTTTAGCTGTTCTGTCGTCATTTCCTGCGATCTTCTTCATGCAGTCAGTCAGAATGAATGAATGGGCGTTTCTTTGACTATTTATAGGCAAATATGGGCGTTACGTGAAGCCCGCAAAAGCTGCACCGCATTTCGAGTTGATTGTGATTTATAAAGGGAAACCGGCGTAGGAAGTGCCATACGCACGTCCTGCGCCGGTACGCAGTCTTTTATGAATCATAAAATGTATTTATTTGCTTTGTCCTACTTAAGCAACCTTCCCACGCCAATCCTACGCAAGGGTTAGGTGGCCCCAGGTGTGGGCTGAAACCCCACAGTCAAACATAACTGTCCAAGTTTCTGTTTGTCATGCTGTCACATGACCAGTGGGATGGTTAATGTAATGTGTATTGCACTTTCATGTGCGTGTGTGTGTGGCAGTGATAAAAGACTTCTACTTTAAAGGAGAAGGATATCCTGCTCACTAATCTTGATCACACCGCAGTGAGCCTCAGAGGCACACATATATCTGCAGTCAGCAACGCCCTTGTGTGAATATGAGTTTACGAGTTTCAATCTGAACACATGTCCTCATTGCAACCATGGGCTTCCATATTTAGTTAGTTGGACACTCAGTAGGTGCGTCTGTTGTTCTTATCCTCGTTTTTTATTTGAGGATTGAAAAACCTGAGTCGTAAATCGACAAAAATAGAAAATCTCAAAAAAGGTGCATGAAGTGCATTGACATTCATTTGGGGAGAAGATGAAGATTCAATTTCACTAACTTTACAAAACAAATCACTTTTGTATTTATATGATACAGTTGACAGTTTCAAAAATGTTTCAAAAGGCTGTTAGGATAAAATGATGCAGTGGTGACATTTTGGACAGATACAGTATGGATGTTAACCATGAAGAGGGACTGATAGAGCTCTCTTTCCGTCTGCAGGGCATGGTGGTTCCATACGAGGGCCAGTCCTTCTCTGCACTGAGGAGGCAGTGCCGGGAGAATGGAAGACTGTTTGAAGACCCTCTGTTCCCCACCTCTGACCAGTCTCTGTTCTACCAGAACAACCGCATCGGCACAGTCACCTGGAAAAGACCCAAGGTGAGAACACAACCACGGTTTGTTAAAAATAAGTAAGACCTTCACATGTTTCAGCCAGGGAATGTGATCCGCGATATCATGTCTTTACAGGAGTACATGACTAACAATCATCAATACTAGCATACTGCAAAGTAATAACATGCTACATCCAGCAAAGTCAAGAATAGTCCCACAATAAATACTAATATTAGAGACAAGACCGAGAGACAGGAATAGACTGGGTTGGTGTGGGGGAGGGTAAGAGGGAGTGCTCATAAGACATGTAGAATGGAGAACATGCATTAACAGAGAGGACAAGTAGCGAATAGCGAAATAAATGTATTCGATCTCAGGAACAGTGTTGTTTGTGCATGTGGTTTTGTGTGTGTGTGTGTGTGTACATTGTTGGTTTTCATTGTGTGTGTACATGGAGTGTTTGGTCCTTGAACAAATATTTGAACCAGAGAACAACATGTCTCTGTAGTAGTGACAGAGCAAGGCAATTACATTTGTTTCATACTTCGGTTATTCTCATATGTGTGGTTGAAATATGTTATAAAATATGTGTCAACACTAGGGCTGTCCCGAATACCATTTTTCGGGCTCCGGATATTCGGTAGTAATCAGCAGCGAATATTCGGTGCGGAGAGATTTTTTGTTTTTTTTAATAAACATTTTTTTTTTCAAAAAAATGTCATAACACGCTCCGAGACACCTGACAACACGCTGTTAAGCAGAAGCGCAGAAAGAGCATACTATTACGATTTATATTTAATTATTGTCTCAGTACTCGCATACATTAAAACTAAATGTGTCCTCTGCATGTAACCCAGCCGCAGCGCAGCGCCAGGGGACCAAATCTGGTTCCAAATTCCGTCTAACGTTTTACAACCTGAAGATACAAAACACATATTTCTGTTATAACAACCATACTTTTAATAGCATAGCCGTAACAGTAGGCCTAACAGGGTAACACTTGTTACCGATACAGTAAACAGTATTTAAATAAATGAAGAACGAAAAATAAATGAACGAACTGTATGCCAATAATTGCCTTAGCCCCAGATGTTCCCACATTGCTCCTATTATTTTCACTATTCGGATAAAATTGAAAAAGTAATATAAAAAAACAATTCGGTTGCTTGCTTGCAACGATTTTCCAAGCAAAGCAAGAGCACGATTTTACCATGTGTAACGTTACTGTTTAAACGGCGGATAAAGCAGCTTCATCATGGCAACTTGACAACAGCTAAGCTAAGCTAGGCTAGTATTTACAGCATCCGGTGACTTTTCAGAGTTGTTGTGCCACCGTGGTAGGCCAGTTTCTTGTCGCATATTTGGCACACTGCCTTCTTCTTACTGTCGTCCAATTTAAAATGGTCCCACACAGCTGAAGTCTTCGGCATTTTGTGTTCAGGTGTGTGAAACGAGGTAAAGCGTTTGCGTTCGTGACTGTGAGTGAACGCGATGTCGGAGCACAGGCTGAGATTGTATATATTTCCGCATTTTAACAGTGCAATTCAAAAGTATAAATATAGTATAAAAATATGGCAATTCGCCTTTATTGATAGCATACATTTAGGAAATAAAATAAAATTGAAAACAAAACGAATATCCGAATAATGAAATTGAAACCCGAATAGTTGGCCAACGAACGAATATTCGAATAGTCGAATATTCGGGTACAGCCCTAGTCAACACAGATGTGGTGAGTGTTTTGATTCAGTGGTCTTTGGCTGGAACAAACGCTGGATTTTAAGAAATAAATATAGATCATCATGCTGTAGGACAAATACATCCAGGCTTTTGAGGGAGTGACCACCATGTTTGACTTCAAATGTGTCTGTGTTACCGTAATATGGAAAAGGGTTAAAATATTCTTCTTAATTGTTTATGTTAATTGTATATTTGGGGAGCTCGTCATGTGGAAGGTATGAGTGGATGTGCACAGCAGCAAAAG